AGGATTCACTGTATTTCTGACGCTGTTTTTTTTTCGGCGGGGGGCTGTCCAAGAGAGAAGCTAAGGAAAGGAAAGGTACAAACTGTTTCCGTAGCGAGAAAATGTGGAATCACACAGGGGACCGTGGCTTGTCATCCCAGCACTCTCGGAGGCTGAGTCAGGAGAATCACAAGTTGGAGTGCAGCCCGGGCAACACGGTGACCTAGCCGGACCCCGTCTTGAAGTTTAGAAACTTAGCAGACTGCTTTTGCTCAGTCCCCAGGACCACAAAGGAAAATGAAGCGGAAGGAAGGGGTCAGTTCTATAGATGGACGAGACGGAGGAGCCAGGCGGAGAGAGTGGACCCGTGCGTGGGGCGGGCTGTGTGGAAGATGCTGATTCTAGAAGGCGGAGGATGCCGAAGCCCAGGTTCACTTGGAGAAGGAATGTGGGGCACCCAGAGTGCTGGTACTGAGCTCCAGAGGGCTGTGAGTGCTGAGCACAGTACTTGGAGGACAACGCCCGGGAGCAGCAGGTCTGGGTCGCCCTGGGGCTGGTCTCGGAGCCAGGTCGGAAAGCAGCGAGGCCAGCCAGACTCTCTGGCTGCACTGGCCCGGCCCGAGCAGATCGGGTGTCAACTCCCTCTGGCCTGGGCCCCTGCATTATCTTGATTGGCTTTGGGTTTTTGGTTTTCTGTCTTCTGGATGGCGCTGGGCAGAGCCCCGACCTTGCCAGCAATCCTCCTTCCTCAGCCTCCTGCATGCAGGGATGACAGGCATACGCCACCACGCCTGGCAAGAATATTTATGTTGCTGTGTGACCGTTAGCACCGCTGCCCACCTCTGGGGCTTTTTATCTTGGAAAACTGAAACTCAGCACTCGGAAAACTGTGACGTCCTATCCCGTTCCCCTTGGCCCTTCTAGCAAATATGCTTGGCTGGTTTGTCTAAAACTTGGGTGACTCTAGCGACCTCACACAAGTGGATTCGTACAGTGTTTGACCTGTGTGGCTAGATTATTTCACTGAGCATCCTGCCCACATGCTTTATCCTCATGCCATGTGTCAGAAGTTCTGCCCTTTTCGTGGCTGTATACTATTCCGCAGTGTGTTTAAAGTGCGTTATGTTTATCCATCCATGTGTGGATGCTTGGGTAAATTTCTCCTTCTGGCTCTGGTGAATAATGTTACTGCAGATGTGAACGTGAGTGTGGGTGCTTGCTTTCCACTGCTTGTATGAACACACTGTGATCAAAAATGCAGTGAATGTTTATTTTTCAATTTATTGCACTAAAAGGCAGGTTGCCATTTCACCTGCTCATTACTCCCTCTGGCCTTGAACACCCTGCATAGCACCATCCTGGCTGCTTCCCACAGGAGCCCTGGAGTCCTCTTTCCTGAGGGCTTCACCGGGTGTGATCAGAAACACGGTGACTGCTGCCTGTCCAGGGGAAAGGCAGCTCGGGCTGTGTCCTCCTCCACCCGAGTCACCGCAGCTGGCACCGTGCGACTCCTGGCTCCTCCCCAAGGTCAGGGTGACCGGGAAAGGTCGCTGTTTTGAGTCCACTCGGAACATTGAGGCAGCCGGGATGGCGCAGCTAAAGACCCCCAGGAAAGAGGACTCCAGAGCTGCTGCGGACAGCGGCCAGGACGGCGGGAAGAGGGTGTGCACAGCCGGGGAGGATTCTGGGGGATTCGTGGTGATGCATGTAATACATTTTTCAAAAATTAAGCATTGACCACGTTTTGTGTCATGTCTTGTACACATACGTATTTTGGTGGTACTGAGGACTGGGCTCAGGGCCTTCACACTGAGCTGCATCCCCGGCCCTTTTTCAGTTTTCCTTTTGAGACAGGGCGTCGCTAAGTCACCAGGTTGCCCAGGCTGAGCTCGATCTTGGGATCCTCCTGCCTCCGCGTACCAGAGTTAGATTAAATACATGGTTCTCTGCCTTCCTCACCCGTGGAGGGTGCCCATGCGTTTCATTTCTTTTTGGGTTCCCTCGCTGACTCCCCTTCTGTCCTCCTCCATCCGAAGGCCAGGGAACTGTATTTATCACCTGGTGTGGGTCTTTGTGTCATTTTCTCTGTGTCCAGTAATCCACACACACACAGACACACACGCACACACACTTGTCATGTCAGCACTCTGGGAGGCTGAGGCAGGAGGATCTCCAGTTGGAACCCAGCCTGGGCAACGTAGCGATTTAGTAAAAGCCTGTCTCAAAAAATAAAATAATAAAATAAAATAAAATAATAAAAGGGGCTGTGGATGGAGCTCAGTGCAAAGGCCCTGGGCTCAATGTCCAGTACAAATCAAAAACAGAAAAACAGGGAGAGACAGAGACAGAGAAGGAATGAAAGAGAAACTGAGATCTGGAGAAACCTTTTCTCCCTTTGACACTGGCGTGACCCTGTCCGAAAGGCTTGTGACCCAACGTGCTGCGTGGTTCAGGCTCTGTCCTTCAGACTTTGATGCATTTCCCCGTTGCAGTGAGCGGCCTGGGAGGAGGGGCTGGAGCCCAAACAGGTTTTCCTTGCACACACCCGGGCCTGAGGTCCCGTGAGGCGCGATCCTTTTCAGTCCTGTTGGGCGAGCAGAGGAGACGTCTCATGGGGCCGCACCTTGGGATTGGGGGACCGTCTGTCGGGGTTGGGGGTGGCCTGGCGGCGGGTGGGTCTGGGATGTGGGGACGGAGCCGCCTCAGCCTGCAGAGCTCCCGGAGCTTCGGAGCTTTGGGGATTTGCAGCAGATCAGAGGAACGCCGTCCTCTGGCTCTCTCCCTCCCTCTTTGTCATGTTTTGCTTTGTTTCCCGTTTGTCCCTTTGCAGCCCTGGGGATGAGCACGGACTCGCCCCAAGCCCACACACACCCCGTCCTCCCGCAGTCCCGCCCTGTCATCTTTTTCTCCAGCCTTCCTTCCTTCTTGCTCCTTCTCCTTCCTGTATCTCTGCCTTCCTGTTCCCCTCCCTGCCGCCTTCCCTCTTCCTGCCTGTTCTCCCTCCTTCCTCTGTCTCTGTCTCCCTCTCCGACCGCCCTGGCTGGAGTGGGACTGGGCGTGCACGGAGCAGAGCCGGGGAGAAGCTCACTGTGGGAGAGATGAGCAGATGGTGCCCTGAAGCGAGCCACCCAGAGCGGCCTCCCGCAGACGGGGGCGCCAGGGGGGGGACACGGGGTGCGTGTCGCCTTTCCGGGGTCTCCACGGGAAAGCTGTGCACCCTCACGATCCTGTTTTCCGTAGGGGCTGAGGTTCGCTCACTGTGCAGGTGTGAGTCAGCCCCTTAATCCCCACCTGAAACGGGAGCCAACGCAATTGCGCACCCTGAAACTCTGGTTATTATTACTGTGAAAAATACCCTGTGAAATCACTTCCAGGTTCCAGGCCCCCGACAGACGTGAAAGGCAGTGGGATGTTGCGCTTAGGGTTGGGTTTCCTTCCGGTGGCGTGGCGTGGGTGTGCAGATACTCCCCAGCTGGAAGCACCCCAAATGGGGGGCCCCTGTGGGCCCAGGGATTGGGGCGTGGGGCGTTCGCCTCGTCTCCTTCCCTTTTGGCCACTGTCCCTGGTTGTCCCTGTAGGATTTCTCTTGGGAGGAATCGCGATGCCATTTCGTGCCCTCTTATGTGACTTTACTAGGACGGGCCATCCCGGGACAGGAGACTTCTGGTCGACCTGGTGTCTTGTCCTAAGACCGAGACTTAGTTGAGGTTGTGGTGCTGGCCTCGGTTACAGTCCTGGTTGTAGGGTAAGGTCTTGATGCTGGTCTTAGTCTTGGTCGAAGTCTTGTTTAAGTTCTTGGTACCAGGTAAAGTTCAGGTCTTGGGTAGACTCTTGCTGCAGATCCTCGTCTTGCTCGGTGTCCTGGTCAGGGCTGCCGTCTTGACTAACACCTTAGTTAAGGTCGTGGTTGTAGCCCTGGCATTCGTGGACAACTTGGTCATCTGCTGGTCTTGGCCAGTGTTCTGCATCTCTCCATGGCCGTGAGGGACCGTCCGTCCACCCGTATCCGAACATCTGTCTGTGGCTCCGTACCTACACCCTACCATCCACGCATCCACCCAGCCATCCCCGTCTTGGGACATCTTGGCCTCTGTGTGTACTGCTCTCTCAGCATCCGTCCACAGCTCCGTCCTTCCTGCCACCCGTCCATCCCCACACCCTAGCATCTGGCCCTGATGCTGGGTCTCTTTGGTCTCTTTGTCTACCAGTATCTCAGGGTGTGTCCATAGCTCCCATGCTCCCATCCATCTATCCCCATGTGCTAAAATCGGGGCGTCTGTGTTAGCAGTGAATCAGCCTCTTGCCATAGCCATGTCCTGACGCCCGTCCATCCCATGTCCTAGCATGTGTTGGTAGGCACATCTTGGCATTTGTGTCCACCGACGTCTCAACAACCATCCATCACGACGTCCTACCACCCATGTGCATGCCAATCCTAGCATCCATCTGCGGACACATCGTGTGGCCTGTGCCTACCAACATCTCGACATCCTACCATCCATCCATGCCCAAGTCCGAGCATGTCCCACTAGGCACACAAGTATCCGTGTCTCCCAGCATGTCCACATCCATGTATAACTACACCCTGTGTTCTGGGTCGCTCTGTACACCTATCCTAGCATGTCTGTGTGTGCAGCTCGGTGTCTGTACCTACCACTATTCAGCATCCATCCAGAGCTCCATCCTGCCACCCATCCATGCCCATGTCCCTCACGTGTCTGTAGGCGCATCTTCGACACCTGGGCCTACCGGTGTCTCCACATCTACCCACCACCTGCCTGCTCATGTGTCCTGCAGCCACCCTGTCCACCCCACTCGCTCTGTGTCCACCGCTCTTAGGTCCGCTCTCTCCTGAGCATCTGTCTCCACCCAGACTTCGCCTCGGCCCCCTGTGGGTGTCCGTTCAGTGTCACCTCCCACCCCAGAGTCTCTGCGTGCATCCCCGCTCCCGGCCCTCATCCCCCGCGTGCCTGCGTGCACTCCCCGTGTCCACCGTCCTGGGCATGATCTCCCCGCCCCAGGTTCTGGACCTGCCACGACGCACGCTTCCTCTACATGCTCATGGAGTACGTGCCAGGTGGCGAGCTCTTCAGCTACCTGCGCAGTCGGGGCCGCTTCCCGGCCACCTCGGGGCTCTTCTACTCAGCGGAGATCGTGTGTGCGCTCCAGTATCTGCACTCCAGGGACATCGTGTACCGCGACCTGAAGCCCGAGAACATCCTGCTGGACCGCGAAGGCCACATCAAGCTCACCGACTTCGGCTTCGCCAAGAAGCTGGTGGACAGGTGCGGGGGACACGGGAGAGGGTGGGGCAGCTCCCGGCAGGGTGGACGGAGGGATGGGGCTGAGTGCACATGTGCACACGCACACATGCACGCACACATGCATGCACGCACATATGCATGCATGCACATATGCACACGTGCACACACACGCACGCACACATACGGCATGCACACACATGCACGCACACACCCCCACACACGTATGTACGCACACACATGCATGCACACACATGCACACACACATGGGCATACACATGTACACACATGCATACACACGTACACACGTACACACATACACACACATGCATGCACGTACGCACACACATACACACATGCACACATGCACGCTCACACACATACACACATGCACACACGCACATGCATGCACGCACACACACGCATACACATGCACACACACATGCACACATACATACATATGCATGCATGCACGCACACACACACGCACATATGCACACACTCACGCACACGCTTGGTTCCAGTATCTATCTTCGCTTGTCTCTCTCTGTCTCTCTGTCTCTCTCTGTGTCTCTCTGCCTGTCTCTCTTGCATACTAGGGATTGAGCCCCGTGTTAACAGGAAGTAATCCTGGAGATAAAATATGAAATACTATCTCCTTGGACCTGTCAGCTGTCTGATATGCCGTGTTTTTGTTCTCTAGAAATCAAAGCAAGAGTAGGACGATATTTATTGACAGGAAAGGTCCCGAGGGACAGGAAGGGACCCGAGTGGGTAGCTGGGGATCCCGCTTCACAGAGGAGTTTTATAGGGTGAAACTCACGTGGATACAACGTGGGCCACAGCCATGATCATCCAGTAAGGTCACAAGCGTCATCTCTCAGGTGATGGTGGTCCAGTTGGGAAGCGAGTCACGTACCAGGCGTGGATGGAAAGGACAAGGATTCCCCTAGAGGGCGCTGGGTCCAGAGGTCCTGGTCACCCCCAGGGTGGCTGCTGTCCAGCCTTCCTTAGGCCCAGTGTCTGTCCTCTGAGGAAGCAGGCGGGCCTGGTCATCTTTATCTTGAGACCCGGCCTCCAGCAGATGTCTCGGGCCGCAGCTGTGGTGTGTTTCGTCTTTGTCCTGACCTGTCGAGGACCCAGCCCTGGCCGACCGCTGTCACACCTCTACGGAACCCAGCTGTCGATAACCGCAGGACCTTCCCACTGTCCTGCACCCCAGCCCTCTCATCTCCTCTTCCAAGACAGGGTCTCTCTGACTCGCTGAGTAGCCCAGGCTGAGCTGGAACTTTCCATCTTCCTGCCCCAGCCTCCCAGAGTGCGGGGATGACAGGCGTGTGCCACCACGCCCGGCCATGATTATCTCCTGTCTGTGAGTCCTAGTGTTTATTTTTCAGCGGCCTCTGGTAATGGTGCATGACAGACACATAATCCCTAATGTGCACCGTGGAGCAACCCCCTTGAAAGGCAGAGACGGATGCTCCTCGGGCGTCGTGGGTTCTAGTTTACTCCCTCACGGTGTTCTTTACCTACGGCCTCGGCATCCGTGAGAAGCCCAGAAGTGATCCTTTTTGGCTTTCTCATTGTTTCAGGAGATCATTTTCATCCTGTAGCATGTGGGAAATGAAAAATATTCAAGAATATTTGAAAAGATGTGAAATGTTTTCATTTCCCGGTTCCGTCGAGATAAAAGTGGAGATATCCAGCACGGATTGTGGGATGGTCCCTGGTGCTGCGTTGCTGAAATCCTGACATTTTATATTTATACACTTATAAATAATAAGTTTTATATAACGGATATATAAATATATATATAATACATGTTATAGATATTTGTAAATGTTATATTGAACTGGTCCTTGAAATGAAGCTGCTCACTTCTCATCAGAACTGTTTGCCATGAGCCGGGCATGGCGGTGCAGGTCTGTCATTGCATTTCGGGAGGCTGAGGCGGGAGGATCACTGAGTTCCAGGCTGGCCCGGGCTCCATGGTGAGACCTTGTCTCAACCCGTCCAGCCCCAAGAAGAGACAGAAAGAAAAAAAGATGCAAGAGAGAAAGAAAGAGAAAGTAAACCCATGCAAAAACTGACATTGCCATCTACTTCAGCCTTCGTTGGTTTAAAAGGAAGCGGAAACACCCGCACTGGGAAACCACTTCCTGGAGAACCACACATTTCTGAGCAGCTTGGCCCGCTGACTCTGGTTCGAACATTCAGTTGTCAGTTTTGTGAGGATTTTTATACCAGTTAAATAGAGGTCAGCGTGTGAATTCAACGAATGCTAAAGAAAAGTCATTTTCTCTCGCTTTTCTTTTCTTTTCTTTTTTCTCTTCTCTTCTCTTGAGACAGGGTCTCACTATGTAGCCCAGGCTGGGCTTGAACTCAGTGCGATCCTCCAGCCTCAGCCTCCTGAGTGCTGTGGTCACAGGCGCGTGCCATCACCACGCTTAGCAACCCTTCTTTTCTAAAACGCGGTACACTGCTGTTCAAGTCATTGTGAATTTCCCCTGTAAATCTTTACCTATCACGCGTGACAGGACACAGCCTGTAAAAGTGAGAGGGTTTTTAACAGAACAGTGAAGAGTTCAAGTTTAAATTTTTTCAAGAGTCGTCATGCTGCCCCCTTCTGGCAGAACGTGGTATTGTGTGTATTGGTAGAGTGTTTTTATTTTTGTTTCTGTTTTTGCTTTTTTTTTTTGCTACCGGGGATCGAACTCGGGACCTTGCGCTTGCAAGGCAGGTGGCGGAACCACCGAGCTACATCCCTGGCCCAGAGTTTTTTATTTTTATTTTTCAGCCTGGGTGTGCAGTATGTGAGTACTTTCTACATATTACTGCGCGGAAGTGCTGTGCCCGGGAATTACACCTTGAGCCTCCCCTTTTAGAAATTTATTGTAATTATTCTTATTATTTTTGAGATAGGGTCTCCCTTTGCAGCCCAGGCTGGCCCTGAACTCATGGCGATCCTCCTGCCTCAGCCTCCCCAAGTGAAGTGATGACACTCATGAGCCACTGCGCCCGGCCACCCATGAACCCTGATGTCCTGCACGGACGTGTGTATGACACAGGGTGTTCGCAGTCAGCGTGTGCAGTTGTGCACGTGCCCAGCGCGTCTTCGTTCCTTTTGGATTCGCTTCTCCCCACTCCCTCTGTCGCTCGTTCCTCCCCTCATTTTCACATGATTCCCTCCCTATGTCCCATCACCTGCCTTCTCTCTTGCTCTTTATTTATCTTTCTGGTTTCTCATGTGAGAAAAACCATGGGATACTGAAGCTTCTGAGTCTCATTCTTTTCTGTGAACATCAGGGTCTCAAGGTGCCTCCACTGTCCTACACAGGCCTCGAGGTTATCCTTCTTTGTGGCAGTGTAGGACTCCGTTGTGGGCAAACAGCACATTTCCTTTATGCATTCATCTGCTCGCGGTGTAACAAGTTTTTTAAACATAAACATGCACTGTGTGCATCACTCGACCCTTGTACATGGCAGAGAACCCTGTCTTTCATGTCCCTGTCCCTTGCTTGCCCCTGCCTCAGTGGAGCTGAAATCAAATCACAGGAATCCAGACCAGCACCTGCCACCCCATCTTGGGATTTTTGCAAAAATCACTGTGGACCCAGAAGAGCCAGCTCCAGACGGCTGATGCCCCTGACCCCAGACAGCTCGGGGTGAAGACGGCAGCTCCCTTTCCCTGGGGTAAACTGAGGCACGGCACCCTGTTGGTGCCACTGACACTCGGTGACAGTTTCTCCATCTGCACATCCAGCTGGTTTCAGACCCTGCTTCTCCAACCCATTTATTTATTTACATTTTCGCCTCCTCAGAGAAACCTCACTGCCTCAGCTTAGTGGGGGAGGCAGCTTCAGCCCTTGCCTGCCATTGAAACGATTTTACTCATTTTTCATCCTTAGCCTTTATTGCTGAGGTTCCGCGTAACTGCACGGGGAGCACGGTACGGATGCGCATTTTCGGTCCTTTTGAATTTTTTTCTTCCTGCTTCCTTCTTCCTCCCATCCTGCTGTGTGATAATCATTTCCCGCCTACTTTCTTGTCTTCTCTTTCAGATTCTTCATAGTATTTGTCTTTCCGAGTCTTACTTTCTTTTCCATGGTGGGTCTCCGCATCCATTCGTTTTCCCACAAATGAAAGAATTTTATTCTTTACAGCTATGTAATACTCCATTGTGTTCATTTACCACATGATCTTCATCCGTTCATTTGTTGACGGGCAGCTAGGCCGGTGCTGTATCCTGGCTATTGTGAATTGTGCTGCCATAAGTGTGGATACACAGGCGCCCCTCGCATATTCTGACTTGTAATTCCTTTGGGTGTACACCATCGAGAGGAATAGCTGGATAGGATGGTAGCTCTAGTTTTAGATTTTTGAGGATTCATGCAGTATCGATCAGCCTGTTTCACTAAGCATCTTGTCCTCAGGGTTTATGCATGCTGTACATTTATCAGAATTGCTTTCCTTTTTTAGGGCTGAATGATAATCCCATTGTGTAGATGAACTACACTCTGGGTATTCAGCCAACCATGCAGCCATTCATTCATCCATCCTAGGTTTGGGGATCCATTCTTCTGTTCATCTGTGGTTTGGGCATCCATCCACCCCACCCATCCACCCCACCCATCCACCCACCCACCCATCCACCCAACCACCCATCCACCCACCCATCCACCCATCCATCCACCCATCCACCCACCCACCCACCCATCCACCCACCCACCCACCCATCCATTCATCCGCTGCCTAGCTGTCTGCCATCTGTCTGTCTTCTATTCGTTTTCTCTGTCTTTGGTGGTGGTTGCTGGGGATGGAACCCAGGGCCTTCATCCTGAGCTATATCCCTAACCCCCTTTTTATTGTTTAAGTTTTGTTACAATGTCTCACTCACTGCCCAAGCTGGGCTCCAACTTGAGATTGTCCTGCCTCCGCGTCCCAGAGCTGGGGTTCCAGTTGTGTGCCGCCACATCCCTCCAGCCCTTTCTATTCATTGCTTATATCTGCCTTTCTTTCCTTCTTCCTCTCTCTCTCTCTTTCCTTCCTTCCTTCCTTCCTTCCTGCCTTCCTGGTATTTTTTGAGGCAGGGTCTCCCTTTCTCCCTTTTTAGTCCCCCTGAACTCACTGTGTAGCCCTGGCTGGCCTCCGACTCGTGGCGATTCTCCTGCTTCAGCCTCCTGATGCTGGGGTGACAGGCGTGCCCCCCCGCACTGGCTCATATCCTTTCCTTCTCTGCAGGCGTGGGACCCGGGGCCCCACGTGTGCTCTGCAGCCTCACCCTTGCCTCCCTCGGGTTTCTTTCGCACACGCTCTGTTTCCGGAGGGGACAGCCGGCGGGCTGGGCTGGGCTCCTTGGCCATTGCTGCTGACCGTCCGGCCCTCGTCTCCCCACCCGTGCAGGACGTGGACGCTGTGTGGGACGCCCGAGTACCTGGCTCCCGAGGTTATCCAGAGCAAGGGCCACGGCAGGGCCGTCGACTGGTGGGCGCTTGGCATCCTCGTATTCGAGATGCTGTCCGGGTGAGTACTGCGCAACCGCGGGGCTGGCGGCTCCGGAGCTCTGAGTCCCGCCTCGCATGCTGGCCAGGCCCGTCCCGGGAGTGCTTGCAAGCCTTTCCCCGTGCTGAGCCTGCCGGGCAGGAATAGGGCAGAAACGCAAACTCAGGAAAGAGCACCGCATGCGGGCCATGGCAACGCTTAGAAAATCCCTGCGTCCCTACACACACGGGTGTGAGCTCTCGCTCTGTGCTCCAGGCTGGCTGTGAACTCACCTTGGAGCCCAGGCTGCTCCAGAACTCAGGGCGATCCTCCTGCCTCAGCCTCCTGAGTGCTGCGTGCCAGGCGTGCGCCCCCACGCCCGGCCCCACTCTTCTGTGTTTCTTCTGCTTGCCGGGGAGGCTCCAGGACAGGTGTCACGATGCCCCTGAGCTGCGGTAGCAGCTGGGCCCATGGGTCCCCTGCAGGACCAAAAGCGGAGGTTTTGACCCAGAAACCAGCCCTTCCTGTTCCAAACTAGGGTAGCAGGAGCAGATCTTGCCCACGTCGGGACGCCCACCCGGGAGGTTCTGTCCCCAGCTTGGGAGAAGCCAGGGAGTCACCACCTCCCCTGCAGATTGACGAGAACCAGGGTCCCAGGGGCTTCTCCCTGCTGACCTGGGTAAAGAAAATCACTGCTGCCCAAGGCAGCTGAGGGCAGCGAGGCTGGGGTTCCAACAGGGGCTTCAGGAGGAAGGGGATGTGCATTGTGGGGAGGGGAGTCTAGGAAACCATTGCTCACCCACCTGTCTGCCTGCCTATCTACATATCTGTCTGTGTTTCTATATCCATCCACCCACCCATCCAGCCACCAACCCATCCACCCATCCATCCATCCACATATCCACCCACCCATCCACCCACTCACCCATCCACCCATCCATCCATCCACACACCCATCCATCCACCCACCCATCCACCCAACCATCCACCCATCTATCCACCCATCCATCCACCCATCTATC